AAATTTACAATATGCTTGTTCTCAGGTATTGTGTTTTGCTGGTTTTTATTGTGGCTGTTGTTGCTGTTTTTAAAAGATTTATTTTATTTTTATTGGAAACTCAGATATAAAGAGGAGGGGAGACAGACAGGAAAATTTTCTGTCCATTGATTCACTCCCCTAGCGGCCACAAAAGCCGCAGCTGAGCCAATCCAAAGCCAGGAGCCTGGAGCCTCTTCTGGGTTTCCCACAAGGGGGCAGGGTCCCAGGGATTTGGGCAATCCTTGACTGCTTTCCCAGGCCATAAGAGGGAGCTGGATGGGAAGCGGGGCTAAGAGGACACAATCTAGACCTATATGGGATCCTGGCACATGCAAGGCCAGGATGTTAATTGCTAGGCTACCACACCATGCCCTACTGTTTTTATTTATTTGGAAAGCAGAACAACAGAAAGAGACAGAGATATCCCATTCACTCGATGCTGCAATAAGCAGGGATGGGCCAGGCCAAAGCCAGGAACCAGGAGCCAATTGCATGGAACCGTATCTGAGTATCTACTGTGGGTGGCAGGGACCTACCACTGCTCGCCTCCCAAGGTACACAGCAGCAGGAAGCAAAGTGAGGACTCAAATTCAGGCACTCTGTCATGAAATGAGGTCCTCACGAGCAGAGTCCTAACTGCTATGCCAATTGCCCAGTGGTATTTTTATTTTATTTATTAATTTATGTTTTAAAAATTGCATACATTTTATTTTTGATAACTTTCACATACTTGATTAGGGTGCAAAGGGTCAAGGGCTAGAGTAAAGTGGGTGTTACCATTGCTTTGACATTCTTCTTTTTCTTCCTTACTGGGGAAAGGAGGTAGATAAGGGGAGAAGCCACACCCGTGCTTCCATGCTGCCAATCTTGCCACTCCAATCACAACAAAATCTCTCCAGAATCTACTGGCTAACATAGTCCATCTGAGAGTCTCTGGACAGATAGTCATTTTCAACACATTGTGAGCCCAGCAGTTCAGTTAGGGGAATCATCAAAGAAACTTCATCTGAGATAATCCCAGACCTGATTCTTGTATGTGCATCCCAATACACAGTTCAGCACAGACCATCGCCCAAATCAGCCTGTGCGCACACTGTTAATCAAAATTGCTGAATCAGTTGTCTCTAGCCTTATCTTCTACACAAACTAATTGGTGTTGCATTCCAGCCCGATCCTGCCCACCGCACACTCAGCCCCCATGCAAACCAGTGGGAGTTGTAGCCTAGTCAGAGAGACCAATAATAACCCCTGCCAGGACCACCTCCTGTCCTGGTTCCTGTGCTTGCCAGTATGTACAGCAGGTTACTCCAGTCTGTCCCACATCCCATCCAGTTCTCATACTATCAATGGGCATTGAAGCCTAGTTCAACCCAACCAGCCCCACTGTCCAGCCCACACACATACTGGCAGGGGCCACACTCTGTCTAGCCATGCTTGCCCCTAATCCTGGTTCTCAAACTCACCAATCGGAGTGGCTACCCAAGAGGGAGGTACCCTCTGCTTCCCTACTGGGCCCACTCCCATTCCTGGATCTGGATCTCTCCACAGAGTTTTCCTCCTGTGCCAGCAGCTGCTAGCTGATGCTGTGGCAAAGCCCAACCAACCCTTACCCACTCTGGCTTATGCATGTGCAGTAAGTACAGTCAACCCAGCCTGGCTTGTTCCTGATCTAGCTTACATGCAGGCCAACAGGTGTTGTAGCCTGCCCAGCTGGTCTGCTCCTAGTCCTAGCTCTCACGCTCACCAGTGGGAATGGTGGCCCAGTAGGGGAGCTCTCTGCAGTCCCCCCTACAGGTTTTGCCTACCCTCCCCCAGGTCTCACATGTGTTGGTTGGGTGCTGCAGCCCAGTCTGGTATGTATGGTCTTCCTCACCTCAGCGTTTGCAAGTGGGTGCTGTAGCCTGGCCCAGTCTGTCCCCAGTTCCAGCTCATCTGGTGGGGACTACAGCCTAGCCAGTCCAACCAGCCCCCAAGTCCTGGCCCTAATGTAAACTGGCTGATATTGTAGCCGGACCTGGCATGACCCACATTCTGGGTCATCCAAGAGCATTCTGGCTCTTGGATTTGGCAGGAGGTGATACAAACTGGCCTAGTCTGGCTTGCCCTTGACCTGAGCCAAAGGTAAGCCCATGGGGACCCATAACCAGGCCTGGTTTGGGCTGCCCCCTTTCTTGGTTCTTGTGCTGACCTGCAGGGACTGTGTCCTGCCAGAGGAGTTGCCAAGCTCCTCCTTCAGAACCTCTCCTAACACCAGTCTCGTGCACACTAGCCCGCCCTCTTTGTCCCACCTCCTGTCCTAGCAGGAACAGTAGCACTCCTAACAGGTACTCACCCATTCCGGTTCTTATTGTTAGATGTTACTGCCCAGCCAAGCCTGGTACTAACCCAGACACACCTCACACATGGCTCAGCAAGGAAGGATACTTAGCCCTGCCCATCCTAAACCTATACTGGTTCTCACAAGCTCCAATGGGTATTGGAGTTGAACCCATTGAATGCTCCAGACCCAGTCCACACCCATGCTGGGGAAACTGCAACCATATCCCAATCAGACCACATCACCCACTCTGGCCCCTGCGCTTACCATTGGGACCCACAACCCAGCCAAGGTGTCCCCATAGCTCCCCAACCAGGCCTGTTCCCAGTCACTGATCTCGCCTGTGCCAATGATTGCTCTGACCCAGCTGGGCATAGTCCCTCGGCCCCTAGTCCCAACTCTTGTTGGTGGGTGCTGCAACCTGGTCCTGCTTTTTCTGCTCTCATCTAAAGCGGTAGTTACGGCAGCTTAGCACAGCTTATCTACACTCCATCCTGGTTTCTGCACTTGCCAGTAGGCTATGGTTTGCTTGGCCCTGCTAAGTCTGCCCCCTTCCAAAACCAACTCATAAACATGCCGACAGATGGAGCCACCCTGCACCCAGGCCTGAATTATGTGCTCTCCAGTGGGAACTATGACCCATTAGGAGAATTTTCCAGGTTCCCACACTCAGGCTGCTCCAAGACCCAGATCTCATGCACGTCAGTGGGTGCTTGGCCCTTACTACATGGCCTGCCCCATCCACCCCAGCCTTTGTATGAGCTGTTGCAGCCCAGCCTGTCCCACACCCTGTTTTAGGGTGCTCGTGTGGGTGCTACAGCCTGGACCTGCCCCACTTATTCCCAGCCTCAGTATCTGTGAGCATTGGTGAGTTACATGGTCATGCCTAGCTCAGTCCATCACCATCCCAACTCTCAAGCTAACCAGCGGGACTTGTAGTTTCATAGGGTTTAGCCCACATATCCCCCCCAGAATCTACCCCAGACCTGGTTCTCTTGCGTGCTTGTTGGTATCATGGCCCAGTCTAATGTGACCCATCCCATGATCCCACACTTACTGTTAGGTACTGGGATCTAGCCCTGCCTGACAGGCCCCCAGCCATTGCTTGCATGTACATTGGCATGTTGTGGTCAGCCATGTTCCATGCTAACAAGCCCAACCCAGGACTTTCATGTGGGTGGTATATCAGTCTGACCCATAAAGATCTTCAGGTCTTTCCCCTCCAAACCACCAGGTCTCATTCCCCTTACTTACATGCAAGTACAGTGACCCTGTTGTTGGGTGTCCCTCAGGATTCATTCCTCATCTATACGTACTGTGGCCTTATCCACGGATGTTCCTAGGCAGTAATTCCACACTCCCAAGATACCAGAGCTTGCCGCCTGGTGGTCAGCAGGCAGAGCCCAGTTGGAACTCAGTCACCCACCAGTCCAGGACCCTCCCCTGGCCTAGCAGTGGTGGTCAGGGAGCTAGGATCCCTGCAGGAAGTCTGGGCTGGCATGGATCCCTCTAGCCACAGCTATGTGGCTGGTGGACCGAGATACTTGTACTGTCTCGCTGCTTAGACTTACCTGGACTCCACCTACCAACATGGCATAGGTGGGCAGAGCCATGGTCCTGGGCATGTCTAGAGCTGTCTGAGATCTGTTCCTAGCATGGTCGCTGTGGATGGAGGAAATTCTTGGACCTCAGGCCTGGAAAAACCCAGGACCCTTCCCCACCTCACAGCTATATGACTGGACACCTGTGCTGTGCAGCTGCTCAGACTTACCTGTATTTATTTTTTTTAAAAAGATTTATTTATTTTTAATTGCAAAGTCAGATTTTCACAGCGAGCAGGAGAGACAGAGAGGAAGATCTTCTGTCCGATGATCCATTCCCCAAGTGACCACAACAGCTGGTGCTGAGCCAGTCCGAAGCCAGGAGCTAGGAACTTCCTCCAGGTCTCCCACACAGGTGCAGGGTCCCAAAGATTTGGGCCGTCCTTGACAGACTTCCCAGGCCACAAGCAGGGAGCTGGATGGGAAGTGACGCTGCTGAGATTAGAACCGGCACCCATATGGGATCCTGGCACATTCAAGGCGAGGACTTAGGCACTAGGCCACCGTGCCAGGCCTGAAAGTTTCATTTTTTAATTAGCCTATATAGCACTTATTTTAAATTTTATTTTTTCCTCATGTGTAACAATAAATCAAGACCTGTTGTTTTTAAAAAAATGAGGCCTGACATTTTTTTAATAAATATAAAGCTTAAGAAAATACATTCTCTTTAAAAAGATAATTTTGGTATTCCTACTGACAATGTCAAGTATGTATACTTAATATTAGTAGTAAGTTTCATCAAGCCCTGTGTCAATTCATACTGCAAAAAGAAATATGAAATTTAAAAGAATGAAGATATTTTAACAGATATTATAACACTTTGATATTACAACTCTTAGAGCCCTATCTCAATAATGTTTTTTGAAACTCTGTTAAAATGGTTTAATATTCTCATAAAATTAACACTGAAATAAACTTGACTTTTTCCTTATTTACAATGATTTTTTTTCAATTTTAAATTCAAAAGTTTCTGTTTAAAAAATGGAATAATTTAGCTCTGATACATAAACATTTCATTTCCTTATCTTCAATCTAACTAAAGCCACAACTCACGCATGAAAATTCTAATTTAATAAAATAAAGTTTCCTGTTCTGGCAGTTGATATTTAGATTTGTCAATATTCAATACAATAGGGCATGGGATTTTGCAATTAGCTGAAAATGATCCCAAATTTTCTTTTGTAAACACAATTTTAGTCATAGCTAAAGACAAAAGCAAAAGTAGCAAGCCTGGTCTAGTCCAATACCCCTAGTCATCAGTGAGTGGTTCTTAAATTTTAAAGAAAGCATTTTACCATATGAAACTTAAAGGGAAAAATGGCCATGCTTGAAAACAGTTACAAGGATCAGCATAGAACACAGGACAGTAACAAACAGAGTCACAAAACACACTAAAGGGGTATGAATGGCCACTCCCACCGGGACCTGCAGAGTCACATTCTTAGATGCCTGTAAAGAGACAGAGGGGGGACCAGTGAGGCACACTCCAAATGCACAGCCAAAGGTAAGACCACCGTATCTCACACTGTAAATCTGATTTCCTTTAAATATCATTCAGCTAATTCTATAATATATGTAACATTGTTTGAATGACTATTTGAGATCCAACATTCCATTTAGGTCATAAAATCAAACTTCATCCTTACAATTATTCATAAAGTCTCATTAGTTCTGATTTTTTTTTTTTTGCTTTTTACGTAAAGTTGACTATCTTTAAAAAATGTTATAGCTCAACATCACCTCTGTAGTCACCATAAAGATTTACCTCCTCCATGCTGCACATTAGAATGTAGAATTCTCTCTCAATAAAGTTCTAGAGGAAAAATATTAAAATAATAAAACTCTACATTCATTCTTGCTTTGCAGCTTTTCTCCCTACACATCTTTTTAAAGCTTGTAAATCACAAATAGCACAAGTGAACAGGACCTCTACCATGGCTAGCAATGTGAAAGTTTTGTGTTCAACTTAGCTTCTACTGAACGCAATCTTTACCATAGCTAGTACTGTGAAAGTTATTTGTTCAACTTAGCTGCCAGGAGCAGTAGACAAACTTTTAAGTAACCACAAGAAAATTACTTCAAACCCAAATATCCACAAACTCTTAAAAAAAATAGTGCTAATGAGGTATTAATGTGATATCTGCTTCAATAACTGAGATCAAAACTACAAAAATAGCCACAGACAGACTATATTTAGGTATAAAATAACAAAATAAAACTGCCTACAAATATTACTGAAGTTGACATACTTTGAACTTTGTTTTCCTTTTTTTCACTTCCTCTGAAGTTAATTTACTTTGTTATTTAAAAACTAGAAGATCTAAATAAAAATAAACACATCTTACACTTTCATTTTATTCATTTAATATTTATTTTATTTACTGAAAGGCAGAGTTAGAGAAAGAGAGGGAAAGAAGGCAAGAAGGAGGATTTATGGAAAGGAAGAGGAAGATGGGGAGAGAGACAGAGAGGGAGAGAAGAGAGAGAGATCTTCCATCTACTGGTTCATTCCCCAAATAGCCGTAACACTTAAAACTAGGCCAAGCTGAAGGCAGGAACCTGGAACTTCATCTAGGTCTCCCATGTGAGTGAAGGGGTCCAAGGACTTGGGTCACCTTCTCTCTTCCCAGGTGCATTAGCAGGCAGCTGAATCAGAAGTGGGGCAGCTAAGGCTCAAATTGGTGCTCAAATGGGATGCTACTGCTGCAAGAGGCTGCCTAAGTCACTATGCCACAACAACATATTTTAAATGTTTGTTTATTTCGAAGGCACAGCAACTGAGAGAGACAGGGAGAGGTTTTCATTCTCTGGTTTATGCCCCTGAAACCCCCAATAGCCAGGCCTGTGCCAGGCTGAAGCCAGGAGCCCAGAACTCCTTTCAGGTCTCCCATGTGAGTGACAGGGACTCCTCCCACGGTACAGCTAGCAGAAAACTGGATCCAGCAGAGATGAGACTTTACCCACTATACTACAATGCTGCCTCAAATAAAGCTTTATTTATAAGAAGAAAAAAAAAAGATGTAAATGCTACTATATTCTCTACTATTTCAGATTTAAAAAGTGTACCTGCTACACTTATGCCATTGACCAACCAATGTGTCAAAGGACTAATTCTAAGTCCTCAACCTCCATGCCCAAACATGCACATAAACTTCACCCAAATGAGAAAAAACTGCTGGCAAAGAAGTAACATTAAAAAACAAACGGGGGCCAGTGTTACAGCTTAACAGGGTTAAAGCACTATCCATGATGCCAACATCCTGCATTGGTGCCCATTCGCGCCATGCTGCTCCACTTCCACCCAGCTCTCTGCTAACCACCTGGGAAGAGTAGTGGAAGGTGGCCCAAGAGTTTGGGTACCTGCCATTCACGTGGGAGACCCAGAAGAAGCTCCTGGCTCCCGTGCTTTGGATCAGCCCAGCTCAGGCTGTTGCGGCCATTTGAGGAGTGAAGCAGCAGATGGAAGGTCTCTCTCTGTCTTTCCTTCTTTTCTCTCTGTACAACTCTTCCTTTCAAACACATAAATAAATATCTAAAAACAAGTGAACAAATGTTTGACTATAAAACACTAATTCTTTAAATGTAGTATAAACATATAGAAAGACTTTCATATGTAAAAACAACATAAAATATTAGCTTACTGATTTGTACTTCATATTTTTCCACTGGCAAATATCCTCTTTCTTCAAAGCACAAGGAGCTGCCACTTGCGACTGAGCCCAGCATCTCAAAATTGGGAACTCTGAGCAAAGCAAGCAGGAAAATATCAGAAAATTTGTACTTGAATTCAAGGTTATTCTTGCATCGAGTCTCAACAGAAGTCCTTCATACTGGGACGTGAATATTGAAACATTTTAATATACAATATATAAACTCTGTATGACCTGGACCCATCTATCTCAGGATGTTATTTGAGCACTCTTTTTATATGTATGGATGCCTAAATAAGATTACAAAGGTATCACAGACTTTAACATGAGTTTTAACAAATTCTATCATAGTCAAACTAAGGACAAATCTTTGAAAAACACTGCTACATGTACAAGCTGACAACTGCCCACATGAAACACATCAATATAAACATCTCTAAGACCAAAAAACAAAATAACAACAACAAAAAAGTCATAAAAATACCAGACCCTCCAATATTCTTGCAGATGGGGCACTTTTTCAAAATTTACTGAAGGTATGTATAAGATAGCATTAATTGAAAGTTAATTTAGTTGAGCACTTAAATGTTCTCATCCTGAATGGCATGATTGTAGCAAACATATGATTAAAAGCTTTCCCTTTGGGCCCGGCGCGGTGGCACAGTGGTTAAGGTCCTCGCCTTACACGCCCAGGATCCCATATGGGCGCCGGTTCTATCCCGGCAGCCCCACTTCCCTTCCAGCTCCCTGCCTGTGGCCCGGGAAAGCAGTTGAGGATGGCACAAAGCTTTGGGACCCTGCACCCGCGTGGGAGACCCGGAAGAGGCTCCTGGCTTCGGACCGGCATAGCATCAGCTGTTGCGCTCACTTGGGGAGTGAATCATCGGACGGAAGATCTTCCTCTCTGTCTCTGCTCTCTGTATATCCTCCTTTCCAATAAAAATTAAATAAATCTTTAAAAAAAAAAAAGCTTTCCCTTTGTCAGTTTTTGGTAATGATGCTATTATCCCTCTAAGTCCACAGGAAGAGACAAAATCTGGAGCAGCTTCTTTAACTAGAAAGAATAGTCTTGATTATTAGAAGTCTGCAAAGAGTTAAAAATCATGTCTTAATTCATCCAGCTCCTAGGATTAAAAAAAAAAAAGGAGAAGAAGAAATAACAACTTTTTGGTTAAACCAAACCCTCATGAGCAAAATCACAATAAAGGTAAGTAATAAAGTATCTTCCTCAAATACTAGAATCCTCCCGACTGGAGACAAAATAGTGAAAGCCAGAAAGTCTTGCAACATCAGTACTGAAGAAACAGAGAGCAAGAAACACACTGGGTGTCAGCCAGCTAACTGCTCACAGAACATGGCGCCACCCAGGGCTTGTTCAGGGACAAACTTTACCCTCACTGAAGGGCTGCTGTCTGCACCGCTCCATGGCAAATAGCTAAGTGTGAGGAACACGGGAAACTGCCTCATGAGGATGATCAGGAAAAATCTCCAAAAGGAGGAAATCGACAGGGTCAAACGGACCGTTTTTTGTTTTGGAGATCTATTCATTTATTTGTTGATCTCAGGCCATTAGCAGGGAGCTAAATTAGAATCAGAGCAACTGGAACTCGTACTGCTGCTGCAATAGCGGATGCTGGCTCCACAAGAGGTAGCTTAACCTACTGCACCACAACATCAGTCCCAAGAGCATGTTGCTTCAATAGTTTAGTTTCATAGTAAAGGGAGAGAAACCTGTACATGAGCAGACCTGATGGAGATAACATGCTTTTAACGACAAAGCAGTTGTGTCTAAAAATGTTCATTTTCATAACACAAATGTAAAAAAAAAAAAAAAAACCACACATGAGAAGTGGGCTAAGTAGGAAGAGTGAGTGAGTTTTGAAATGGAAGAGGCTATGGCTGGAACGGAACACATGGAGTTGCTGCTGGGGTGGCCATCAAAGTTTTCTCTGGTCTCCTGGCTGGTATTCACAAGGGCAACTGTCTTAGAACCATCTGCAAACTATCCACAGATAAGCTTTTCCATATCTGAGCTTATATCTTACAATTAAAAATAAAGCAGCATGCCTTAGCGTGGATTTCACTCCTGGGGCCATAGCTTTCACTCACATCTTCAAGCTTTAGAAGACTTAACAACCCTCACCTTGGTCACAGCGCATCAGCAAATCTGGGTTCCTGAGCATGATCAAGGCCTCTCCGACTTCACCGTGTGGCCGGTGATAGCGGCAGTGCACAGGCACAAAGGCCTGGAAACAGTTCATGCACTGGAGATCTCGTCTGGCAGAAATGAGAACTTCAGATTCCTTGGACAAATAGTTCGGAGCTTCTATATCAACATTTTCTGAAACCATCACTGCCTGTCAAAAAAGAAAACAAACATTAATGTAAAAGAAATAAATGAGGAGGGTTTATAAACAAGTAAAACTGGAAGAAGATGGCTATACAGACAGAAGTGTCAAATGGGGCCCTTGCATCAATATTTTCCATCTCCCTTGCATCCTCAGTTCAAAGTAGAACACAGAGGATGTGATCTACGTTTAACCAACCTTGCTTACTCAAAGCAAATTGGAGAAAGAATATATCGCCTTAAAACATATTTCTGTCAAATTTCCTTATTAACCTCTGATGACATGACAAAACAGGTACCATGAACTCTCTATGACAAAAAGTGTTGAACCTGTATTGGGAAAAATAGTTTGTGTCATTCTGGTAATTTCCTGTTCTTCAGACAAACAAGTAAGAAGGTAATGAGTAAGTTAAAGCACTGTGGTCAGGAAGTCAGATCAAAGGTCAGGGGGTATAAAATGTCACAGGGAGTGGGTGTCTAGCCGAGTCATCGAGATACCTACACCACGTATCCGAGTACCTGGGTCCAACACCCAGCTCTGGTTCTGGACCCCAGTTTGTGCTAATGTAGGTCCTAGGTCACTGGGTTTCTGTTATCCAAGTTGGACACCCAGATGGAGTTCCCAGATCCTGGTTTCTTGGTTCAGCATGGTCTGAAGCTGCTGTGGGTTTTAGGGTGTGAACCACAGGATGGGAGCTCTTAGTTGCTTTGCCTTTTAGGGAAAAACACTTAACTGAAAAGAAAAATGGCAAATAGTTTTTTTTTAAAATCATTTTAAGATGAACCTTCTACACAAAAAGTGAGACTGCACAGGTGCACACGAGTTACATTGTATTTATCATGTATATATTATCTATATCGATATAAAATGACTCCTCAAAAGCTTGATGGAAAATGAGTATTAAAAAAAAACTATGCATGAATTTCAATTTTTTTTGTACCAAAACAGACTTTATAAACTATTTGAGAGTGACAGAGACACAGCAAGAGAGAGACATAAAGAAAGCAAGCTGCCACCTGCTGATGTTCACCAGACCACTTCGCAGAGTCTCTGCAGAAGGAACTGGGCCACAGGCGCAGCCTCAGCACAGCTCAAAGAAACAGCAGCTGATTGATCAAGAAATCAGCTTCCAATTACTGCAAGTCACTGGGTAATGTCAATTTTTCTACGGATTTACAATTTTATAACATAACTATAACTAGAGACTAACTGGGGAAGCAGATCATCAAAATCAAGAAATCTAATCAATAAAGATATGTCTTTCCTTTTAAAAATTTTTAAATTTTAATATAACTATCTTTAGTTTTGATAATTTTTATAGTTAATTAGGGTGATAAGGGCCAAGGGCTACAGGAAGGTGGGTGAAACCATTATTTCTGCATTCTCTTTTTTTCCCGTCCTGTATCTGGGGGAAGAAGGGAGATAAGGGGGGATGCCACACCCAGCCTCCCAACCGCCTTCGTGCACAGGGACGGAGGGTAGCCACCCAATGCCATCATAGGGTCCCCACTGTGGGGCATGCTCCAAGGGTCCTGCTCAAGTGGTTTTGATAGTTCAACAGTTCTGAATTATTGCTGATTTAACCACTCTAAGCACAATAGAATCTCTCCAGATACTGCCAACACTTGGCTGGAGTAGTTGATTGATTTGTTCTATCCTCTGTCCTCTGTTATGGTACCAGGTATCTTCTGCAGGCTCCAATGTACTGCTCTGTCCTCCATTAGCACCTGGATATGCTATCCACTGCTCCATCTGAGCCACCGAGGAGGCCCAGCTCTGACACATGTACTCCACAGCCAGACCATGGGACCTTCTCATTTCTTCATGGTTGGAGTTATGAGTCCAGCAGTTCTCCATGGTTGGAGTTACGAGTCTAGCAGTTCAGATGGAGGGATTCCAAAAGAAACTTCATCTGAAGTGATCCCAGACCTGATTCTTGGGTGTGCATGTCAATACGGGGTTCAGCACAGTCCATCACCACAATCACCTTATACACATGAAACTTTCAGGTCAGTTCTGACTCCAGTCCACGAACCAATGGATGCTGCAGTCCAGTCCAATCCTGTCCACCACATACTTGGCCTTCATGAAAACCAGTGGGAGCTGTAGCCTAGTCAGAGCAACCTGCAATAATTTCTACCATGCCCAGCCTGTGCCCTGCTTCCCATGCTTACCAGTATGTACAGCAGATTGGTCGTCTGACCCACATCCTATTCAGCTCTCATACATGTCATTGGGCACTGAAGCCTAGTCCAACCCAACCAGCCCCACTATCCTGACCACACACCTGCCAGCAGATGCCACTCTCTGTCTAGTCATGCCTGTCCCAGTCCTGGTTCTCACGCTCACCAGTCAGAGTGGCAGCCCAAGAGGGCGGTACCCATTCCCTACTCCCAGATGTTGCACTCTCCAGGTGGTTCTGCATTTTAACTTGACAGAATTAGCCCCATGTGCCAGCATCTGCCAGCCCAACCTACCACACCTGCCCAGTCCACCTCCTTCCAAAATCAACACACACACTTGCCAATGGATGGAGTTACATTGAGCAGCCTGCCTGACCCCTAGCTCTGGACCACGTGCTCATCAGTGGGAGAAATGACCTACTAGGGAAGTTTCCCAAGTTCCCCCACTTGGGCCACTCCCAGATCCAGATCTCACACATGCCAGCATGCCAGCATGCCAGCATGCCAGCAGGTTAGGCCCTTGCCCAGTGTAGCCTGCCCCTCCATCTTGGCCTTGTATGAGCTGGTGAATGTTGCTGCTTGTCCTGCCCCACACCCTATTTTAGAATGAACATGCGGGTGCTACAGCCTAGACATGCCCACCCTGTTCTCAGTACTCCTGAGTGTCGGCAGGTTTCATGGTCACATCGGGCTTAGCCCACCATCACCCTAACTCTTGAGCTAACCAGTGCGACTTGTATTTCCTCAGGGTTTGGCCTACATATCTGCTACAGAATCTACCCCTGGACCTGGTTCTCTTGTGTGCTGGTTAATGTCATGGCCCTTCCTAATGTGATCCAGACTTTGTTCTAACCCTTAGTCAGGTACTGACATCTAGCCCTGCTATACAGGTCCCCAGCTAGCTTTTGTGCAGGCTGGTGTGTGGTGGTCAGCAATGTTCTGCACTAATAAGCCCAACTGAGATTCCCAAGTGGGCTAGTTCATGAGTCTGACCTATACAGATCTTTCGGTCTTTCCCCTCCAAACCACCAGGTCTCAATTCCTTTGCTTACCTTCAAGTACAGTGGCACTATCATTGGGTGTCCCTCAGCATTCATTCCTCACCTACATGTATGGTAGCCTTATGGATGTCCCTAGGCAGTAATTCTACTCCCCCAGAGCCCCCAGAGTTCGCTGCTGGACAGTCAGTGGGCCCAGGCCAAGATGGTTCGGTTCTAGCTGCCTTTAAGCAGCCAAGTCAGGCTGCGCCCCTCCCCCATCAGCCAAAATTGGCCAAAGGGGTTGAGGGTCCTGTTTGTGCGCCCAGCCCCACTGTAATGTTTTTTTTTTTTTTCCTTTTAACAAATTTGCAATTTCTATAAGTTTTGGTGATGTTTGCACAGTTAAGGATGCCTCTGTTTAGGGTGGGAGGGTGGAGGAATGGAGGAAAGTTGGTAAGACAAAGGTTTTCAATCTCCTTTTGTTCATGTATCTTGGGTAAATGGGAAGAGGGACATTCCCAGAAGCCCAACCGCATCACTGCCTTTGGATGGGGACAGGCACCCATATCCCAGGGTCCCCAGTGTGGAGCATGTTCTGAGGGCACTGCTAACCTGCCCTGGGATGGGGAACAGGCACCCGATATCCCAGGGTCCCCAGTGTGGAGCATGTTCTGAGGGCACTGCTAAAGTGGTTTTCCTAGTTCTAAAGCACTGTTGACTTCATTGCTCCAAGGATGAGGAAATCCTACTAAGGTCCGTTGGCTGACACACTCAACCTTAGAGTCAATTCACCCAGATACTTGCTGTCAAAGCTTTGCTGGGAAAGCTGTCCAGTTTGTTCTGCACTCCATGGTACTAGATGTCCTCCGCGGGCCTCAGTGAACTGGGTGTCATGTCCCTCAAGGCTCCTCTGGACATGCAGCCCACTGAACAGGCTTCAAAAACCGAGTAAACCCAGTCCTGACATATGCACTCCATGGTCAGACCACAGGTCCTGTAATCTCCCTCATAGATGGAGTTTTGAGGCGGTCCAGACCCTGTCTGCTGGCATGTCCATGTCTGCACTCCACATATCTTAAAAATAAAATAGCAACTATGTTGGCACACTGGTATAGTTAACACAAACTTAGTAAACTTAGTATTAACCAGACCCAGAATGTCCGCCAGCTATTAGCTGCTTTTCTCCCAGCAATTTAACACTTACCTAGGTACAATCAACCTGGACAGTTGCCTACAGCTGGGGTTGCTACAATGTTTTTCTTTATCTACTTATTTTTCTTGTAACAGTCAACCTGAAAGCTTACAAATCTCATTCAAATCAAAGGTACATGTCTTTTGCGTCTATATCTTCAACAAGGGTTTCATTTTCTAAGAGCATGGTAGATGATGTTATTAGGGTGGTTTAATATGATTTCGATCCATGAGATTGTAAGCCAAACACCGTGTTTTGGGTACAGCGAGGCCGTGTAGTCCTCTCCTCACATGTACCAGGATCCCATATGGACACTGATTCGTATCCCAGCTGTTCCACTTCCCTTCCACCTCCTTGCCTGAAGCATGGGAAAGCAGTGGAGGATGGCTCAAGGCCTTGGGACTCTGTGTCCACGTGGGAGGCCAAGAGGAAGCTCCTGGTTCCTGGCTCCTGGCTTTGAATCTGCTCAGCTCCAGCCATGTGACCACTTGGGGAATGGGCCAGTGGATGGAGGAGCTTTCTGTCTCTCCTCTCTGTGAATCTGAGTTTGCAATAAAAATAAATAAATCGTGTTTAAATTTGAAATATATATTAATTTTTAAAAAAAGATTTATTTTTTTTTATTTGAAAGTCAGATTTACAGAGAGAAGGAGAGACAGAAAGTCAGAGAGAGATCTTCTATGGGCTTGTTCACTTCCCAATGGTCACAGCAGCTGGAACTAAGCCGATCCAAAGCCAGGCGCTTCCTCAGGGTCTCCTATGTAAATGCAGAGGCCCAGGGACTTACCCATCCTTTGCTACTTTTCCAGTACATGAGCAGGATGCAGGATGGGAAGCGGACACCTGGGGTGCCTACAGTGCACAAATGGAATGCTGGTGCTTGCAGGCAGAGGATTAGCCTGTACACCACCAGGGCAGCCTGAGATCCATTATTTTAAATTTGAAAGTCTCAGAATTTATAACTCAAGGAAGAAAAGAAACTAACAACGTCCTTCCTTATATGTATACAGAATTCCATATATACCCAAAACCTGAGAGCACACAGGAAGAAGCCAGCTAACTGAAGGTTAAAACATAAGGTGTACGCTTATCACTGCATACCTTCACATGTCTCGTGAATGCTGAGCCACAGAATTCAAAGCACATCAAACCATAATGACAAAGGTAAAGAAATTGGTCTACATCATTACTAGAAACAAGATACTATCAGAAATGACTGGAAGTTTATCTATTTTCCCTTTTCCTTTTTAAAAAATATTTATTTATCTTTAAAGATTTATTTATTTTTATTGCAATGTCAGATATACAGAGAGGAGAAGATACAGAGAGGAAGATCCTACGTTCAATTATTCACTCCCCAAGTGAGCGCAACGGCCGGTGCTGTGCCGATCTGGAGCCAGGAGCCAGGAGCCAGGAACCTCCTCCAGGTCTCCCACGCAGGTGCAGGATCCCAAGGCTTTGGGCCATCCTGGACTGCTTTCCCAGGCCACAAGCAGGGAGCTGGAAGGGAAGTGGGGCTGCCGGGATTAGAACTGCCTCCCATATGGGATCAGTGCTTTCAAGGTGAGGACTTTGGCACTAGGCCATTACACCAGGCCTTTTGCTTTTTTAGTTTTTTTTAAAAAAGATTTACCTTTTTTCTTTTAAAGATTTATTTATTTTTATTGGAAAGATTTACAGAGAGAAAGCAAGGAAGATCTTCCATCCACTGGTTCACTGGTTCCAAATGGCCAATGGCCTGAGCTGAACCAACCAAAGCCAGAAGCCAGAAGGTTTTCCAGGTCTCCTACACGGGTGCAGAGTTCAAGGTTTTGGGCTATCCTTCACTATCTTTCCAGGCCATAGGCAGGGAGCTGAATGGGATGTGGAACATCTGGGACATACAGAATCCTGGCATTTGTAGATGGAAGATTAGCCATCTAAGGCATTGAACCAACCCTCCCAAAATTTATTTTATTTTATTTCCTTATTTTCATTTTATCTGAAAGGCAGAGAGAGGAAGAAATCTCCCATCTGTCAGTTAACTCCTCAAATGTCCGCAACAGCTAGGGCTGTACCAGGGTTTCCCACCTGATGGAGGGGACCCAAGCTCTGAGCTATCATGCACTACCCCCAGCACGTGACTAGCAAGATGCTGGCACTGCAGCAGCACTAACACTTGGTGGGAGGCTAGAGCTGGAAACAAAGCCAGACTTACACTCGGCTGCTCTGTGACCTGATGCAGGCTTTTCAGGTCTTAACCTCTGATCCCTAACAGCAATTATTTCAGTTGTTAAACAGGTCCTTGGGCCCAGTCTATACCTGTGGAACTGGGACTTCCCCAAAAGACAACAATCTGTACAAAAAGTGGCCCCAGATGATTCTCTCTTCAAAGCTAGAGACACTCTGAGTTAAAGAGCCAAGATTCCCATCAGGTAATGGCAAAATCTTTCCCATTCAATAACCCTGGGTCCATTTCTTGGCTCTACCATTTATCTACATATCTTGGATAAGGTACTTGCATTTCCAAATCACAGAGGTTGGAATCTATGTCTATCTAGTTTGACAAAACTGCTTTTTAAATGCTATTTATTCCTCATTAATCTTCTCATGACTTTATATAAAGGGGGGGGTCTTTAAATAGTTCGTAGAATATGCAAATTATCTTCTAATTTCATTTGTCAATGCATTTTTTGAAATTTCTTGTATACACACACACAATTTTCTTAATTACTCATCAGTCAGCCTGCCAAAGAGGATTTAACAAGCTCAGTTCAGTGGGTTTATTCCTGGCAAGTGAACAAGCATCACTTTCTTGTTCAAGAAAATCCCCACACTGGCACAGGCACGGAGGAGCAGGAAGTGAAACTGCAGCCTGAAATGTCTGCATCCCTTAATGAAATGCCGAGTTCAAGTCCCGGCTACCCCAAACTTCTGATCTGCTCCCTGCTGAGCACTTCGGAGAGGCAGCAGAGGACAGCCCACGTGCTTCGATTCCTGCCACCCACATGGGAGACGCTGCTGCAGCTCCTGACCACTGGCTTTCTAATCCGTTATGGAACCAGTGCATTTAAGACTGATCTTTCTCTTGCTTTCATTCTGTCTTTCAAATAAATAAACCTTTAAAAAAATACTCCTATCCCAATGTTACTAAATATGCTTTAAGAAAATGTGAAAAAATTACAATGTTATAATATCTAATATTATAGATTAGATAATATTATCTAATATATATCTTTATTGAAGATATAGCATGCTTAAGTTTTTTTTTTTCCAAAGAAAATTCCTTGGTCTCGTGCAGTGGTTCAACAGGCTAATCCTCCAGGTATAAGCAGCAGCACCACATAAGAGTGCTGGTTTACATCCCAGTTGCTTCACTTCCATCCAGCTCCCTGCTTGTGGCAGTGGAAGATGGCCCAAAGCCTTGGGACCCTGTATCCACGTGGGAGACCTGGAAGAAGCTCCAGACTCCTGGCTCCTGGTTTCGGATCAGCTCAGCTCTAGTCACTGTGGTCATTTGAGGTATGAAACAGAGGATGGAAGATCTTTATTCTCCTCCTTTTCATAAACTGGGCTTTTCATATACTAGACTTTCCAATATAAATAAATAAATGTTTAGGAAAAAAAGAACATAACCAGAACAGTTTTTAAAATTCCCTATAGCTGTACCTCTGTTATGTTCTTCTCTCGTAATGAAGCCAATTCGTACGGATCCACAAGAAGTCCTGTCGGGATGTGCTGTTTAATTAATAGTCGGCAGGGCTGTAAGTCCTCGCCACTTTCTCCAAAGTTCACCTTTATCGAAAGGTCTCTGTAAGATGAATATATTTAAAGTAAATTTCTTCCTACAATTATTAAATGAGATGACACTATATTAATAATAATGGAAACATTCTATTTCAAATTCATTTCCAAAACATAGCTGTTTCAAAACTTACATCATAAACCACATTACAACATTACTATGAAAATAAACAACTACCAATGGAAAAGGACAGTCCAAAAATATCCGTACATATTTTTCAATAAATGTACTAATCTAATTGGATAGGGGAAAGACCAGACTCTTCCACAAACAGTACTGAAACAATTACAAATTAATATAGGGGAAAATGAACATTGATCTCTACCTCACACCATACAGAAAATTTAACATAAAACAGATATAAATTTGAGTGTATAACTGCCTCACATCTCTGCTTGGAGGCAGATCTCAGACCACAGTACAGGGAAGGAACTGAAAGTTTGGCATGCTGGTCTTGCTAAAACTAGGAACTACAGATAGACGCTCAGGGAGACTGAAGTGGAAGATAGGGAGAGAGGGAGAGAGGGAAAGAAGGTGAAAAGGAGAGAGGGAGAGAGAGAGAGAGATCAATCTTCATAGCAGTGCTATACAATCAAATAGCAATTTCCAATATTAATTACTTTGTACGGCCATATTTCCTTGATACCACAACTAGAATAAGGGATTGCAAGAAAAGTACAAACCAACAGCCCTGAGGAACATCAGTGAAAATCCTGACTAAATCAAATCCAGCAAAATTTCAAAAGCACAGCAAGTACTGTTATGCAGCAAATTAAGATGCCACGTGTGCCATTCATATCCCATATTGGAGTACCAGTTCATGTCTTACCCACTCCATTCCTGATCCAGTTCTCAGCTAACCAGCCTGGGAAGCAGTAGCTGCTGCCCACATGGGAGACCAGGGAGGCCCAGCTCTGGATGCTGCAGCTGTTCAGCGAGTGAAGCCAAATAATGGGTGGAAGATCTCAATCAATATCTCTCTGTTGGCCCAGCATGGTAGGCTAGTGGCTAAAGTCTTCGCAATGCACACACCAGGATCCCATATGGGCACTGGTTCTAATCCCAGTGGCCCAGCTTCCCAGTCAGCTCACTGCTGGTGGTTTGAGAAAGCAGTTGAGGATGGGCCAAAGCCTTGGGAACCTGCACCCATGTGGGAGACCCAGAGGAGGCTCCTGGCTTCGGATTGGCTCAGCTCCAGCTGTTGCAGCCACTTGGGGAGTAAATCAGTGGACAGAAGATTTTCCTTTCTTCTTCTTCTTTTTTTTTTAAGATTTATTTATTTTTATTACAACGTCAGATATATAGAGAGGAGGAAAGACAGAGAGGAAGATCTTCCATCCAATGATTCACTCTTCAAGTGAGCGCAATGGCCAGTGCTGTGCTGATCTGAAGCCAGGAGCCAGGAGCTAGGAACCTCCTCCAGGTCTCCCACACTGGTGCAGGGTCCCAAGGTTTTGGGTTGTCCTCGATTGCTTTTCCAGGCCACAAGCACGGAGCTGGATGGGAAGTAGAGCTGATGGGATAAGAACTGGCACCCATATGGTATCCTGGCACATTCAACGCAAGGACTTTAGCTGCCAGGCCACTGTGCCGGGCCCCAGGTTTTCCTTTCTGTCTCTCCTCCTCTCTGTATATCTGACTTTTTAATTAAAAAATTTAATTTTAGAAAACATCTCTCTGTCACTCTGTCTTTCAAACAAATAAATCTTTGAAAAAAATGCTGGCATTTTGAAAGTCTCATGCAACTCTGAGATTTCTATTTTCTGAAGCAAGCCATATGTGTTTTGTCAGTCCATATTCTTGGTTTTATATATTCTTCCATTCTGGGTATTTGTGTATTAGAGAGCCAGTTGTGCCATCACAAGAACCTCTTCAGGTACTTCCTTTGTCCTTTTTAAAATAAATAATGATTACACTGTCAGGTTTGCATTACTTAGCATCCCCTATTCCTCTGGAAATTCAGGCCATGAAAGCAGCTTTATGAATCCTAATTACTGCGAAGATAGCAGTGTGTACGTGGCATAATTACTCTGCCATTGCCTAAATCGTGTGTAGAACTCCACTTAAAACTTTCAAAGGTGTCTTTCCACCATCTTCCCTTGCAGAATCAACTACGCTGTCTTACAGTCACAGCTCCTCTGACGAAAACTAATGCCCAGGTAGATCACTTGTCTCATTACTAATAACAGTTGTCATTTTTTAACCTTTCACTATGTGACAAGGACTATGTATTTTAATATAAATCGTACTGCTTTGATTTCTTTGAGAGGCAGCTGGACAGAGAGAGAAACAGCTGGTGCTTGCTTGCTAGTTCACTCCCCAAACACCTGCAACAGCTGCCCAGGCTGAAACCAACAGCCAGGAATTCAATCCAAGGCTCCCACACAGGTAGCAACGACTCAGCTACTTGAGCTAGCCCCACTGGGAGTTAAAATCAGAAGTAGCGCTGAGACTTGAAAGCAGGCACTGGGATAGGGATGTATGCATTCCAAGTGGTACCATCTTTGCACCAAACATCTGCCCCTTCACACTGCTGTTTTAACCATTGAGTCAAAGTATGGCTCACATCTGAAAAATCTGTCACGCATATATTTTAAGCAAACGGTTATTTCAATTTAGCCATATTTCAATTATCAATTTCTTTTTTATGAAAAGAGTTTTTTTTTTTAATTTGAAAAGTATAGTTATAGAGAGAAGAGAAAGACAGAGAAACAGAGATCTTCTATTAACTGGTTCACTCCCTCAAAGGGTTGAAATGGTCAGGGCTGAGCCAGGCTCAAGCTTGGACCCAGGAGATTCATTCCAGATCTCCCACATGGGTATAGGGGAACAAACACTTGAGTCATTCTCTACTGCTTTCCCAGGTGATCAGCACATACCTGGACTGGAAATGGAGCAGCAGACACTCAGATTGGTACCCATATGGGATGCCAGCATCACAGAGAGTGACTTTTCCTGCTATACCACAACATTAGTGCTTCAATCATCAATTTCTTACTGCAAATCATGATACACTAATTTTTTTGAAACAAGAATTTATTTCCATTTGAAACAAAATATGAAAAAGAAGAGATATTCCTACTTAAATCAACCTTTTTATAATACTCTGATCTCTAGGGTTTTTTTTTTACTTATTTTTATTATTATCATATTATGATACAGTTCCACAAGCCCTGGGATTTCCCATATCCCCTCCAATTCTCTCCCCCCTCACTGAGTTCCCCTATATCATTACTATAGTATAGTTCTTCGTACACAGTCATATGTCCATAATTGCAGGCATGGACAATGGCAGAGAGTCCAGCATCCTATTGTCAAGATATAGTAAGCAGTTTCATTGGGAGTTCATCTTTGGAACTGGAAATAGAGATGCATACTGCATTGTACCCCCACATCTGGATATGATAGTTTCCATTACACAGTTACTATACATCCCCCTAAATGAAAAAACAGACTAGAAAATCAACAACAGGAAGAAAAATAGAAATTTACAATGCCATGAAGTTAAATTACATGCTGCTAGATATGTCGGTCTCCATTACACAGTTACTATACATCCGCTTAAATGAAAGGCCACAAAACAAAATCAACAACAGGAAGAAAAGAAAGAAATTAACAACACTATGAAGTTAAATAACATTCTACTGAATGACTAATCTGTCACTGTCTTTATTTCTTTGTTGTTATATTTTAGAAAATCTTTTTTAAAAAATTATTTGCAATTTTAAAAATTGATTACATAATTGAAAGGGATGCATATCCATGTCAGCCTCTGAGGTGTGTAGAAAGTTGGGTGAGATTAATGTTTCAGTTTTTTTTTTTTTCCCTCTAGTAACCATGGCAGGAGGGGTATGGGAATGAGGAGGAAGGGAAAGGAGCTGCTTCTTTTAGATGGTTGGTTGACCCGTTCTGTCTTCTCTCTTTTCTTTGTTATGGTTCTGAGTCCAGCATTTAGATTAGGAAGATCTCCAAAGAAACTTCTTGTATGTGCTAACAAGTACAGGGCCTGGCACCGTCCATCGCTCCAATCAGCTGGTGGTTGCAATTCCTGGGTTGGTTCTGTTTTCACTCCCGTCTTCCACTGGAGCCAATGGGTGTTGCAGTCCAGTCTGGTTCTGCCCAGCACATACTTGGCCCTCACATAAACCAGCGGGAGCTGTAGCCTAGGTTGGAGCGACCCACAATAACCCCAACCAGGCCCACCCCCTACCCTGGTTTGCCAGTAAGTGTAGCAGTAATCCAGTCTGTCCCACATCCCATTCCACCCCAGCCGCTGTCTTAGTTTTATGTCCTCCCGTGGAAGTGGTAACCCAAGAGGGATGAGCCCACTATTTCCCTCCCAGGCCTCTCCCACTCCCAGATTCCAGTTGATGCTGCCCAAACAAACCTCGTCCACTTTAATTTTGTTTGCACCAGTAGGAATAATCCGCCCAGCCTGGCTTTTCCCTGATCTAGTCCACATGAGGCGCACAGGTGTGGTAGCTCTGCCTAGTCTGGTCTGCCCCCATCCCAGCCCATGCTCTCCTGCGGAAGTAGCTGTCCAGCAAAGGAACCCTCCCTTATTCCCCTGCCAGCTCTGCCCACTTCCTTGCTTGTTCTCAGGCTGGTTGGGCGCTGCGGTCCATTCTGGTACAGGCAACCTCACCTCGGCATTCCATAATGTGCACTAGTCTTTGTTGCGACCGACCCTGGGTCGACCCACACTGGTGCCTGGATTTGCCAGTGGATGATGTGGACAGATTCAGCCTGGTTTTGCCCCCACGTCTGCCAACTGTATGCCAGTGGGTAGGTTTCCATGGCCTTTTCTGGGCTGTTTCCTATCATGTTTCTTGCGTTTACCTGCTGGGTCTGTGTCCTGCCAGAGGAGTTGCCCAGGCTCCTCCATCAGAACCTCTCCCAATGCCAGGTTTCACGCTTACCAGTGGGTCCATGAGCCAACCCTACTCAGTCCACCTCCTGTCATAGCAGGAACTGTGGCTTTTCCTGACTGGCCTTCAACCCAATCTGGTTCTTGCTGTTGGATGTTCCAGCCCAGCCATGGTTTGTCCATACCCACGTATGGCTCACACATGGCTCAGTAGGGGTTTGAGACCCTGCCTAGTCCATCCCACATCTGCCCTGGTCCTCCAGAACACCAGGGGGAGTCGGGGTCCGGCCCAGTTCGGTGCATCCAATCCCAGTCCACACTTGTGCCAAGGGAGACTACAACTGTTTCCAGATCAGAACGCAGCCCCCTTCCAGGCCACGCGCCTCTTGGTGGGAACCTCAGCCCAGCTAGGGTTGTCCCCTTTGCTCCCCAACCGGGTCCGTTCCCAGGCATAGATCACATGCCTGCCAATGGATGCTCTGACTCAGCTTGGCACAACCCCTCCCCTGTCCCGAACTCTGCCTTAGACACTGTGGCTTAGCGTCCCAGGCTCCCACAGACCAGCAGGTACAAGAGCCTAGCTCGGCATGACCTCTGCTCCCTCCTGGGTTCTAGTTTTACTTGTGGGCTAAGGTTTGCTCAGTCGTGCCTAATCTACTCTGTTCCATTACCAGTTGACACATTGGCCAACTGTTGGAGCTACTTGTGCAGGGCAAGCCCCAAGCCATAGCTTCTGCATGACTGGTATTTGGTGCTCAGAATTATTAGTGATTACAAGTTTTGCTAAGGAAGAGTTACTGCCTCTTTCAGGTCCAAGAAGCACAATGGGTTCAACCTGGAGCTAATTAAGCAGCAACTCAAAGAACCAAATCCCCAGAGCTCCCCAGCCGGGCGGCCAGCAGGCGGAGCCTGGCACCAATGGCGCACTGGCCGCCCGGGGAGGATGGCTCACCATGTGCCCATGGCGGCCGTCCGGGATCCAGGCATGAGACGCCCCGTCCTGAGACCCACCAGCTGCCAGGAGGCAGCTGGAGGTTTAAATAACCCAGGCCCAAGGTCGCGCCCCTCCCAAATCCCATTCACCGCCCCATGAAGGCGGCGGGTGGGCCCCGGACCTGCCCAGTCCCGGAGGCCTCCCCCCCTCGGTCTACTCACCCCGAAGGAAGCGGCCCCCGAAACCCAGCAGGCCCGGGGAGGACGGCTCACCATGTGCCCATGGCGGCCGTCCGGGATCCAGGCATGAGACGCCCCGTCCTGAGACCCACCAGCTGCCAGGAGGCAGCTGGAGGTTTAAATAACCCAGGCCCAAGGTCACGCCCCTCCCAAATCCCATTCACCGCCCCATGAAGGCGGCGGGTGGGCCCCGGACCTGCCCAGTCCCGGAGGCCTCCCCCCCTCGGTCTACTCACCCCGAAGGAAGCGGCCCCCGAAACCCAGCAGGCCCGGGGAGGACGGCTCACCATGTGCCCATGGCGGCCGTCCGGGATCCAGGCATGAGACGCCCCGTCCTGAGACCCACCCAGGAGCTGCTTCTTGTCATCAAACTACATCAACACCTGGGGATAAGGGATGATCATTTGATCATGCCTTAGAAATCCCATGTGGGGAGGAGTTTTCTGAGGGTGTTACCTGAATGGGTTTGATAGTTTTGAGACATTGTTAGCCCTGCTGCACCAGGGTCTAATGGCTAACCAAGTCCATCTTAGTGCATCCACAGATCCAGACACTTGCTGCAAAGCTTGGTCAGGAGAGTGGTTCTAATCCGTTTTGCCTCCTGTTCTCTGATTAGGCTGACATTGTCTTCTGACGGTCTAGATGAGTTGACTGTTATGTCTCCTGTGTGCATCTGGGTATGTGGTCCACAGACATTATCAACTTAGTACGCCCAGTCCCAATACATGTGCTCCAAGGTCAGATCACATATCTTGAGGTTTTCCCTGAAGATGAGGTTTGAGCCCAGTGGTCTAGCTGGGGAGTCCCCAGGAATTCTTGCCTGGAAGGTCCTCAGACTTGACTGTTGTGTGCACTAATCAGTACAGGGTCAAGTTCTGTTTGCCTCCCATACCAGCCTACAAACATACCAAGCACGCAGCTCTCTGGTCTGTCCCACCCTCAGTCCCATCTCTCACATAAGCCAGAGGGTCTTGCAGCCTAGCCAAGCCTAGCAACCTCAAGGTCTGGTTCTCACATATACCAGTAGGTGCTGTGGCCAAGGTGGGACAATCAAGAATAATCCCCACCAGGCCTACCTCTATCCCCACCTTCTGCGCATGTTGGTAGGTGTTGCAGCCTAGCCCGGCCCAAACTGCAAACAACCCTGGCTCTCATGTAAACTGTAGGGTGAGTGGCCCACCATGGCCTGCCCACCCCCGACCCCAGCTCTCATGTTCACCAGCAGGAACTGTGAGCCAGCTTAGCATGACCCATTCCGTCTTGGCACTCACCAGCAGGTGCTGCAACCTGGCCCAGCCTGCCCCTCCCAGGTCCAGCTCTCATGTTCACCAATGGGAACTGCAGCTTAGTTAAAGATTCCAAAGTTCCCCCATCAGGCTCACTACTAGCCCTAGATCTCACACATCATGGCCAGCACTGCAGCCCGGCCTGACATGGTCCACCCCCAGTCCCAGCACTTGCTGAGGGTGCTGTGGCCTAGCCCAACCTGGCCTATTCCCAGCCCCAACCTTTGCATGTGCTGGTGAGTGTTGTGACATAGCCCAGCCTAGCCTGCCCCTAGACTTAGTTCTCACATGCGCTGGTGGGTTCTGCAGCCTGGCCCAGCCCAGATTGCTCCCAGGCCCAGCTCTCACAGGTTCCGGTGGGTACCACAGAATTATCTGGACTGTCCCACCACCAACCTCAGTTCTTGGGCATACCAGCAAGTGTTGCAATCCAGCGGGGACAAGCTCACAAAATCTCTACTGAATATAACCCCGTCCCAATACACAGTGGGTATTGCAACCCAACCCTGCCTGGCCTGCCCCTCAGCTCTAGGTTTCACACGTGCCAGGGGGCGATACTACTTAGTCCAGCCCAGGTCTCCTACGAGGGTGGATGCCCAGGCATGTCCCTGACGAGCCCTCCAAATTCCCCTTTTTAAACCACCCCATCTCAGCTAACCCTCAGTTATCTGTGAGTGCAGTGGCTTGGTCTGTGGAAGCCCCCCAAAAAGGTCATTCCACATCTGTCAAACACTCCCTTAGTGGCCCCTGTTCTAATATGTGCTCAGACTCCCTTCCCTGGGTAATTTGCTGCCCTCCCTGCATGGCCTCGTGGCTTTCAGAACTGAGGTCACATGGTTCCTGCTTGGCTACCCTCTGCCTCCAGGCTGTGTGGCCCCTATGAGGTAGACATGTATGCAGAACTCAACAAGTTGGGCCATTATTGTGGTACACAGTGGCTTAACCCGTACCTTACATGAATGCTGGTTCAAGTCCCAGATGCTCTATTTTTGATCCAGTTTCTTGCTAGTATGCCTGGAAAGCAGCAGAAGATGTCCCAAATGCTTGGGTCCCTGCCACCCATGTGGGAAATACAGGTGGAATATCAGACTGCCTGACTTGACCTGGGCAGTCCCAGCTGTTCTGGTTGTTTGGGGAATTAACCAGTAGATGGAAGATTTCTCTTTGTCCAAAAATCCCTGTCTATATATCTATCTTTGCCTTTCAAATAAATAAACCAGAGAGAGAGAAAAAGAAAGAGAGAGAGAAAGCCAGGGAGGAGTTTTCCATCCACTGGTTCATCCCCAAATAGCTGTAATAACTAGGGCTAACCCAGGCCAAAGGCAAGAGTTTCTTCTGGGTTTCCCACGTGTGTACAGGGCCCAAACACTTGGGCCATCCTCTGCTACTTTCCCAAGCAGAGAGCTGAATTGGAAGTAGAGCAGCCAGAACTTGAACCAGCACCCATATGGGATGTTACCATCACAGGTGGCAGCTTCACCAGCTATGCCACAAAAGTGGCCCCTAAATAAATGAATCATTAAAGGAAAAAAAAACAGGGAAAAAAACCCTCAATGGGTAACTTACCTGTGGAAACCATCTTTCAAAATTTCTTGCTTTACAATAATTTCAGAACATGTGGCCCTTATACCTGTAAGAACCAAAAAGATTACATTAAATAAGTACACAGTAAAAGAATATTTAAATAACTAGAATGAAATCACTTCATTAGGCTTTACCTGCCTATAAAATCTAACCAATCTAAAACCAGAAACTTTTTAAATTAAAGCAGTTTAACCTAAACATAAATCTATTTCTAGTGTTGCATAGTAGTTAACTTTGATTTTAGAGTTTTCTTTTTAAAGATTTATGTATATCTATTTGAAAGAAGATCTTGCATCCGCTGGTTCATTCCCCAAGAGGCCACAACGGCAGAGGGGAGCCGATCTGAAACCAGGAGCCAGGAGCTTCTTCCAGGTCTCCCATGTGGGTGCAGAGTCCCAAGGTTTTGGGCCATCCTCAACTGCTTTCCCATGCCACAAGCAGGGGAGCTGGATGGGAAGTGGAGCAGCCTGGACACGAACCGGTACCCATATGGGATGTACATGCTTGCAGACAAAGGAATGGCCAATTGAGTCACTGAGTTAGCCCCTCATCGTGTTTAATTTTAATGAGGTTAGGGAGGAAGGCCCAGCATTTTTCCTTAAGGCCTAACATCTAACGACATATTTAAATAGCAGGAGAGCAAGCTTGGGGGCAGCGTTGTGGCACACTTATGCTACTCCATACTGGAGTATGAGTCCCACCTGCTCTGCGTCTAATCTGGCTCCCTGCTAATGCATCTGGCGAAGGCAGCGGAAGATGGCTTAACTGCCTGGGTCCCTGAAACCACATGCAGTTCCAAGTTCCTGGCCTTCTGCTGCGTTGCAGGTAACTGGAAAGTGAACCACCCTCTCCTTTTCTTCCAGGTAGATAACTAAAGCAAGTCCTCACAAACGATTCTTTTCTCTTTTTGACCTTCGGTTTTAATTCACTCCAATCAGTCCTGAAGCCCATGGCCTGGCGCCAGGAGCACCTGCGCACACCGGCGCTTGCCCAAGCCCCGCCCACGCCGGAGCCCCGCCCCCCCTTACCGTCCGTGGGAGCGCCGTCAGCGGAGGTCGCGGCTGCCGTGCGGCCGAGCTCCACCGCCGCGCCCAGCAGCAGCCAAGCGACCGCCCAGACAGCCCAGACCGGAGCAGCCAGGACGCCGCAGGACGCCCGCCCGAGAGGGGCGCGCGGGAGCGAGGCGCCGGCCGAGGAAGCAGCCGGCAGCTGACTAGGCCTGAAGCTCGGCACGCCCGCACGCCCGCGCGCCGTGTCTTCCCCCGCACTACCCGCGGCTCCCGCGCTCGGAAGTTCCAGCCTCGCGCGAGGCGGTGAGGCGGTGAGGCGGGGGCACCGGGCCCTTTTTCGTGCGTTCACGGCCCCGGGGGCGGGGCGAGGAGCGACGCCGGCGTGGTGACGTGCGTCCCGGGCTGTTGCTGTGGGAACGGCTGGGCTGGGGTTTGGACCTTGAATCCCGCACGCCGCGACGCTGCCCGCCGGCTTCCGCCTGCGCTGCGGGCTGTGGGCACGCCGACCCTGGAGGAGGCTCGCTCCACGGTGCGGACACGGAGGCCGTGGGGTGGTGGCCTCTTCCTGCAGCTTCGGGCCTCGACTGCGACGCGGGTGTCCCTGTGTGCGGCCGTGGGGGTGGACGTCGCCGCACCTGAGGGTTTGGACGTTGTCTCGCAGGAGAGGATGCGCTTTCCATTCCTTCGGGTAAGGAGACCAGCTTTGCACCAGAGGCGCGCGAAGCTACATCTACCCATTGGGCAAAATCTGTATCCTCATGGCGTGTGTAGTGGGGGTAACCCTGCAGGATTCTGGCAGTTCCTGCTCTCTGCAGAGAAAACAATTCAAACCCAAGTAGAGGAAAGAGTGGACGCGCCTTCCCTCTTCCTGAATGCCTTAGCTGCAGGGCCTGGGCCTCAAAGGGGGCTTGTGGCTGCAGGCAGATCTGAAACGGGGAACGGTGCTGTAAGCATGGCAGACAATTGGAAAGGCTTTCTGGAAGACCTTTCCTTGTGGAGAGCAGTGGGCCAGAGGACCAGTAATTTTGGTTTGTCTGACTTTTTAAAAAATTACTTATTATTGTTATTATTATTGGGAAGGCAGAATTATAGAGAGAAGGAGAGACAGAAAAATCTTGCATCTGCTGGTGAATTTCCGAAGTGGCTGCAATTTCTGGAGCTGAGCCTATCAGAAGCTAGGGGCCAAGAGCTTCTTCCATGTCTCCTACTTGGGTAGAGTCCCAAGGACTTGGGCCATCCTCCGTTGCTTTCCCAGGCCATAAAGAGGGAGCTGGATGGGAAGTGGAGCAGCTGGGACACGAACTGGCACTCATATGGGATGCTGGGCACTTGAGGGTGGAGGATTACCCAGTTGAACTATCACGCTCATCTGGTTTGTTCAGTTTTTGCTCTCTGCATCTTAAACCTTTACATTCTCAGAGGAGCACAGACATTTATATATAGATATACATAGAGAGAGAGAAACAAGAAGGGAGAGTAAAGTAGCGTGGCATGCAGAGTGTGTTGGATTTATGTTCAGTAAGCTTTCCTACAAAAGTTGTTAACATTGAATTGTAAAGAGAGGCAAAGGGTAATATTGAGTGAAAAGGAAAAGGCTCGAAAAGGCGGGATTACTGTATCTGGTCAGAGGCAGAATATACTCATTTGCAATAGTAGTACTTTTATATATTACAAATTTTCTATGTAAAAATTCTTATGTCTGACAATGAGAGCTGCATGGAATAGGTTATGGTACATCCATAAGACACTTGGAAATCTGGTAAAAATTATATCTTTTTTTTTTTAAAGATGTATTTATTTTTATGGGAAAGATATACAGAGAGGAGGAGAGACAGAGAGGAAGATCTTCTATCCGATGGTTCACTCCCCAAGTGGCCTCAATGGCCAGAGCTGAGCCAGTCTGAAACCAAGAGCCAGGAGCTTCATCCAGATCTCCCACACGGGTGCAGGGTCCCAAGGCTTTGGGCCGTCCTGAATTGCTTTCCCAGACCATAAGCAGGGAGCTGGATGGGAAGTGGAGCTGCTGGGATTAGAACCTGCACCCATATGGGTTCCCGGTGCGTTCAAGGCGAGGACTTAAGCCGGTACGCTATCGTACAAGGCCCAAAAATTATATCTTAACAAAGTTTAATCACAAAAGGAGTTCTTAAGTTTCAGTGTAAATAATCTGCATGCTAAAAACTAAAACTGTGCCTCGAAAAAATGCCGGAAGTAACTAGGGTAGTTATTTTCTTTCCTTTCTCTTTCCTTCACCCCAATTTTCCAACAGTGAATTATGTAGTTATTGTTAGGAATAACTGTGTTTGCAGGACAGGCTTTTCTAGCCATTAACATGGTTAAGGTGCTGGGGATGCCTTCGTCCTGTGGGAATGCCCAACCTTAGATGCACGCTCCAGTTCCAGATTCCTGCTCACGCTTATCCTGGGAACAGTAGTGGTGGCTCAGGCAGTTGATTGTAAAAAACCTGGCTTGAGTTACTGCCTACTGCCTTTGGCCTGGCCAAAACCTACCCCACCCCCTTCCCCTTGCCAACCTTGGGGAATTAACTGACTCATGGAAGGTCTCTTTGTCCCTCTCTGCCTTTAAAAAGAACTGTTTATCCATTTGTTTGTTTATTTCCTTGAAAGGTAGAGTTTGCAGAAAGAGAGCTTACATCCCCTGGCCCACTCCCAAAATGACCGCAGTGGCCAGAGCCAGGCTGGTCCAAAGCCAGGGCGTCATCCAGGGCTCCCACATCGGTGCAGAGGTCCAGTGATTGGGGCCATTCTTTGCTGCTTTCTCAGGCACGTTAGCAGGGAAGTGGATTGGAAGTAGGATGCCCTTAACTTGAACCAGTACCCGTATGAGATGCCAACACATGTTGCAGGCAGCAGCTTTACCAGCTATACGGCAAAGCCAGTCCTTTAAGAATAGATTTTAAGACAAGGATCTTTTTAAAAAGTATGTTTCTGGGGGTGATTGTCCAACAGAACCAGGTTTGTAAACTATGGCACTGTACCTCAAAGTGTTTTTAATGTTTGCAAATCTTTCTAGAATATTATAGATAGGGGCTGACAATTGTGACATTCCAGATAAAGCCACTGTCTGCCATACCTACTTTCCTCTTGGTCACCAGTATTCTTCTAATCCAGCTCCTTATCGATGATCAGGGAAGGGCAACAGGAGAAGGCCCTAGTACTTGGTTCCCTGTCACCTGTGGGGAAGACCTGGAAGAAGCTCCTAGCTCCCCGCTGAGCCTGCTCCTGCTGTTGCGGCCATCTCGGGAGTTAACCAGCAGTCAGATGATCCCTCTTCCATTTCCTCCATCTCTGTGTGTAACTGACACAAATAAATAGATATTATTTAAAACGGAGTGTTAGGGCCCAGTATGATGACTCGATGGTTAAATCCTTACCTTGCAAGAGCTAGGATCCCATCTGGGCACCTGTTCACATCCCAGCTGCTTCACTTCCCACCTAGCTCCCTGCTTATGGCCCATATGGGATCCTGGCGCTTGCCAACGCCCTGACCAAATCGCCATCTGAATGCAGGCTTGGATCCTGAGGACCATGAGGTCCAAACTGTCCTGACAAAATGATCCTGTGCCAAGACAGGGGAGATACCTGAAGAGACATATCTGCCATTTGCTTGTTCGTTCCCCAAATGGCTGCAACAGCTGAGCCAGTTTGAAGCCAGGAGCCAGGAACAACTTCTGGATATCCCACACGGGTGCAGGGTCCCAAGGCTTTTGAACTGTCCTCCACTGCTTTCCCAGGCCACAAGCAGGGAGCTGGATAGGAAGCAGGGCCTTCGGGATTTGAACCGGCACCCATATGGGATCCTGGTGCGTGCGAGGCGAAGACTTTAGCCGCTACGCTATCGAGCTGGGCCCAAAAAAATCATGTATTTTTAAAAGCCTCCTACATAGGCTGTTTCTCCTTCAGGTTAGGCTTCTGTTTTAGTCAGACTTCTAGACTATAAATGCTTGCACAGAATTGCTGAGGCTATATCTTATGTTAGTACATGAGGATTAAAACAGCATAGGAGTGGTGTTTACCTTATGGGTGCCAACTCATGTCTCAGCCACTCTGCCTTGAATCCTTTGCCTTGCTCTAATGGCCTGGGAAATGCAGCAGCAGATTGACCAAGTGTTCGGTCTCCTGCCAACCTCATGGGAGGCCCACCTGTAGCTGCTGGCTCCTGGCTTCAGTCTGGTCCAACCTGGCCTTTGTGGCCATTTGCAGAATGAACTAACAGATGGATGCTCTCTCTATATCTTTCTCTTTCTTTCTCCTGGTAACTCTGAATTTTAAAATAAATAAATTTTAGAAAAAGAAAAAAGGGTATGGACAGAATGCCTTCTGTACTCCAAGTGTGCTGCCCTCATGGCACATACAGACCAGAAGGAAAGAGAGGTTACAGCAAACTGGATGAGTAAAGTAATTGGGAAAATTCAAAGAATATAGGTCTAGTTCAGTGATCCTCTCAGAACAAATTGTTTGAATTTATTTCTTAAGATTTATTTATTCTATTTGAAATGCTATTTATAGAGAGAAGGAGAGACAAAGAGATCTTCCATCTGTTGTTTTAGTTCTCAAATGGCTACAGCAGCCAGTCTGGTCCAAATCCATGAACCAGGAGCCCCCTCTGGTTCTCCCACTCCCCTTGCAGGAGTGCAAGGACTTGAGCCATCCTCTGCTGCTCCCAGACCATAGGCAGGGAGGGAGCTGAATCAGAAGTGGAGCAGCCAGGACGTGAGCCAACACCCAATGGGGTGCAGATCATTAGCTTGCTAAGCCACTGTGCCAGCTCCAAAGATGAAAAAAGAATAATACCTTGATGTAGAGGGGAGCCTTACTAACCGATAAAGAGGAAAGGCCCTGTTGATCGCTTCTAGGGCCAACTCGGGCTCATCCATTGTCTTTGTTGTGAGTGCAGTACACAGAGAGGTCTAGGTGGACACTTGGTCATCCAGCTCATATGTAAACAAACTTAGGTCTTTCCATGAAGCAAAGACTCTGAGGAATCCACCAGCGGTAACCCCAGGCCGTATGGAACTTTGAGGGTGGCCCCTAAGGATTGGGGTTCCCAGCCTGGGAAATGCCTTTGGGCTGGACTAGAGCCAGATTTGCTATAAAGGAACAAGAAAGGGGAGGGAGATGTATCTCACTGTGCTCTTTTTCCCTTTAGCAGGAAGTGAGTGTGCAATAAATACCTTTTCACCAGGTTTCCTCTGGTTGACCCCGAAGCCTGTGTGAATGATGTGTACTGCCAAGAAATGTGGAATCAGATTCCAGCCTCCCGCCATTATCTTAATCTATGAGAACGAAACCCAGGGGAAGCGTCGACAGCGCATCATGCCCGTCCGAAACTTTTCAAAGTTTTCAGGTATCTCCCTTCTCTCTTGGCACAGCATCATTTTGTCAGGACAGTTTTGACCTTGTGGTCCTCAGGATCCGAGCCTGCATTCAGGTCAGGGCATTGGCACGTGGGCTTGGGGAAATTACTTAGTGTACGTGAGCTTCGTTTCCCCAATCTGTCAAAGGGAATTCATTTTTTTCCAGTTTGAAACTTGATGATTATTTTGAGTTGTATGGATTAAATGTGATAGCATAATTCAATGATATTCTCTCCTGCTATTTTTTATTTGTAGCCTCTCCCCGCCTTTTAAAAATTAGAACCACTACTGGGGGCCCAGCACAATAGTCTAGTAGTTAAAGTCCTCGCCTTGCACTCACCAGGATCCCATTTGGGCACTGGTTCAAATCCCAGCAGCCCTGTTTTCCATCCAGCTCCCTGCTTGTGACCTGGGAAAGCAGTCGAGGATGGCCCAAAGCCTTGGGACCCTGTACCCCTGTGGGAGATCTGGAAGCGATTCCAGGCTCCTGGCTTCAGATCGGCTCAGCTCTGGCCATTGAGGCCACTTGGGGAGTGAATCATCGGAAGGAAGATCTTCCTCTCTGTCTCTCCTCCTCTCTGTATATCTGACTTTCCATAAATAAATTAAAACAAAACAAATCACTATTGCTATCTAAAGGCTGTAATAAAACTATTTTGCTCTGATTTTCCCTAATTGAAATTGTTTAACATCTCCACAAAGTGATTTTTTAAAAATTGTTTCTTTTTATTGGAAAGTCAGATATACAGAGAGGTAGAGAGACAGAGAGGAAGATCTTGCATCTGTTGATTTACTCCCCAAATAGCCACAACGGCCGGAACTGAGCTGATATGAAGCCAGGAGCATCTTTATTTATTTATTTATTTATTTATTAAGATTTATTTTATTTTTATTGCTAAGTCAGATATACAGAAAGGAGGAGAGACGTGAGAAAGATCTTCCATCCGTTGATTCACTCCCCAAGTGACTGCAATGGATGGTGCTGTGCTGATCCGAAGAGCCTGGAGCCTCTTCCAGGTCTCCCATGCAGATGGAGGGTCTTAAGGCTTTGGGCCATCCTCAACTGCTCTCCCAGGCCACAAGCAAGGAGCTGAATGAGAAGCAAGGCCGCTGGAACAAGAGCCAGTGCCCATAGGGGATCCTGGCACATCCATGGCGAGGATTTTAGCTGCTAGGCTACTGTCCCGGGCCCTCCACAAAGTTATTTTAAGTTAAGCAAGCAAAAAGTTAGTTCCTGTGGTCATTATCTCCTAGCCGGTTAAGCTGTCAACTGTTCCAGCCATGTTCCATACAGAAGTTCCAGTTCGAATTCCAGCTACTCCACTTCCAGTTCAGTTCCCTGCTAATGTGCCTTGAAATAGTAGGTGGTGGTTAGTTACTTCTTGAGTCCTTGCCACCACATGTGAAACCCAGATGGATTCCCTGGCTCCTGGCTTCAGCCTAACCCAGGCATAGCAGTTGTGGCTAATTTGGGCAGTAAACCAGTGGATTGAAGATAATTTTTCTCTCCCTGTCATCCAGCTTTGCAAATAATAATTTAAAAAATTATTTCTCTCCTTCCCCCACCACCTTTAAAAAACCAAGTATGAAGGAGTAAGTTCTATGAAAGAGTTCATTCCAGAGGCCAGCTTTATGCACATTGGGTTAAGTAGCTCCTTAACCTGCTTACCATAGAACAGTGCTGCTTCAAGTCCTGGCTCCTCCTGCTTCCAACTGGGCTTCTTCTTGGTGCCTGGGAAAGGAACAGATGATGGCACAGGTGGTTGTGTCTCTGCCATCCTGTGAGAAATCAGGGTGGTGTTCCTGGCTTCAGCGTGACCCAGCCTTGGCTGATAGCACACGTGGGCAGTATACAAGCAAATGGGAAATTTCTCTTTTTGTCTCTTTTTCTCCTCTCTGTCACTCTGGCTTTCAAATTAAAAAAAAAAAATTTTTTTAATATTCCAATGAAGACAATTAGTCACTTAGTTGTGAGGGAGATAATACTTTCAAAATTCAGAGTTTTTGACCCTTGCATTAACTTGTGGTGTGCTTATTATTTATGATGTATAGAGTGTATATGGAATGCAGTTTTCTCTCTTCTTCTAGACTGTGCCCGAGCAGCTGAGCAACTAAAGAATAATCCCCGACACAAGTCTTACCTGGAACAGGTGTCCCTGAGGCAGTTAGAGAAGTTGTTCAGTGTTTTACGAGGTCACCTGCGGGGGCAGAGTCTGACAGAAACCATGGACCAAATTCAGCGGGAAACAACCATTGATCCCGAGGAGGACCTGAACAAACTGGATGATAAGGAGCTTGCCAAGCGGAAACGCATCATGGATGAACTCTTTGAGAAAAACCGGAAGAAGAAGGATGACCCAAACTTTGTTTATGACATTGAGGTTGAGTTTCCACAGGATGAGCAGGTGCAGTCATGTAGCTGGGACACAGAGTCCGCTGATGAGTTCTGACATAAAGTCCTCGGAGAAGTGATGGGCAAGCAGAATGTCCCTGTTTAGGCAGAGCATGCATTGGTTCTAGAAAAATCTGTCAAAAGCACGAAATGTATGTGTTGGGTCGTAGTTGGATTGACCATGTTGCTTTTCAAAAGCAGGACATTTACGTCGACAGGGTAAGTGCATAGAGACTATCGGACATTCCATATATCTGTTCTGTATAGCAGCTTGCTTTTAATGAGGTTAAAATCTCAGTATAAGTCAGAAGCTTTTGCAAAGGTAATGATGTCTGTGTTAAGGAGATGAGAGCCAGGTGCTTGATAGAGGCTAGAACAGGTCAGAGCTTAGATTGTAATAGAGTTGGATGGTGAAGGGGCAGGTAGGACTTTGTTCCTGGAAATCATAGAATGCAGTAGTAGTTTGTATGGGGAAAAGAATGATTGAGAGATAAGAAATAGACACTTTTACTTGAGGAGCAGTGGGCAAATTATAATTGGACAATATTGGAAGGCATGTACAATTGCCAGGACGTTGTCATGGATACACCATATCTATGCCTGCTGACATTCAGAGTAGAAGCATAACCCTGCGAAATGCCCACAACTGCACATGTGTCACCCAATGGGTATGACGGCCAGCAGGGGAATTCTGCCCCGTCATGTCAGGAAATACATAACAGGCATTTCTGAAATCCGGAACCTCTTCCTGTAAATAAGGGGTTTGTTTATAAAATGGGAAATCCACCTATAATAAATGAACAATAGATACTGCCAGTGTGGGCCTGCTTATGGTTGGAAGTCTATAAAGACACAATCTTTGTTTAACCAGGTTATCTATGTAGAGATACGTTTATTCTTATTGGAATATTTAAATGGTAGAAATCCTGTGTTTTCTACAAGGTAATATCAAATAAAACTATAAGAATAATTATTCACTGTTCTAATCTGTTCATTCCTATTAATACGTATTTCAGGATTAGAGGAGTATGATAAATGCATAGATAAAATACTGGGATGAGAAGTACTTGGCATACTAAGGAAGAACAGGGGACCAGCATGGCTAATGCAGATTGAGCCATCTTTCCCAAGCCATTAGCATCAAGCTGGATCAGAAGTGGAGTAGGAGCCAGCACCTTAGTATAGCAACTTAATCTGCCTGTGACAATGACATCCCATATGGGTACCAGTTCATGTCTCAGCTGCTCCAGTTCCCAATCCAGCTCCCTGCTTATGACCTGGGAATGCAGCAGAAGATGACCCAAGGCCTTGCACCCCTGCACTCAAATGAGAGACCTGGAAGAAGCTTCTGGCTCCTGGCTTTGAATCAGCTCAGCTCTAGCCACCATTGCAGCCATGTAGGGTGTGAACCACTGGATGGAACAGCTTTCTCTTCTCTCTGTGCCTCTGCCTTTTACATAAAAATAAAATAACCTTTAAACAAAAATAGAAATGGAGCAGCCAGGACATAAACCTGCACCCCTATGGGGTGCTAGCATGGCAGGTGGCAGCTTAACTTGCTATGACACAGCCCCATGAAAGTTCTTTATTAAGAAAATTAGTTCTTTTTTTTATTATTATATCTTTGACAATCTTTACATAGTTAATTAGGATAAAAAGGTTCAAGGGCTATAGGGAAGTGGGTAAGACTATTATTTCCATATTGTTTCCTTTATATATCTGAGGTAAAGGGGATATTGAGGGAGAAGCCCCACCCAGGCTCCCACCCACCCAAGGTCCCAAATGTGGGGTATGCTCTGAGGTACTTGCTCAAGTGGTTTTGATAGATCACCAGTCATGAATCGCTGTCAATCTCGCCACTCCAAGCACGACAAGGTCATTGAAGAATCCACTGATTGGCATAGTCCATCATAGAGTCTCCATTTGTCCAGTATTTCACTGCCAACATATAGCTGAGGTGGTTGATTGACTTGTTCTGTCTTCTGTCTTTTCATGGTTAGGGTTCTCAGTCTTGATTGGGGAGATCCCCAAAAAACTTTGTCTGAGGTGTTCCCAGCCCAGATTCTTGTGTGTACTAGCAAGCAAGGGCCCGGCACAGTCCATTGCCCTGATCACTTGGTGGTTGCAA